CAACCCCATAGACAGCTGAATGCAGGAAGTTTCGGTCTCTTTTCGAATCATTATGCAGGCATCCAAAAGTTCAATTCTAGGGTCATGTAATTTTTTTAATATAACGTGACAATCACTTGATACCATGACAATATTCGTCTCATCATCATCACCTGTCATAATGTCTTATGAAATCACTAGCAGCTGTCACCACTGTTCCTTGATTTTCAAGTGTACCCCAACTGAGATCAGTTCTAATGAATATTATTTACGAATTGAATCAATCGTCATAAATTCTCGCTAACTGAAAATTGGTTTTTTTGAGTGAGCAATAACAATTTTACTACAACGAAATCTTTTCCAATTTCTGGACGATGATTTTCTTAATGATTTGTTAAAAAAAAACTAAGTAATCATTCACTTCAATCAAACTAATTTCGTTCATTGTGATAAAACAAAATATTATGAGCATCAAAGGAAGACACTTATAGTCATTAGTAAAACAATAATTAGTTGTAAAACAAGTTTTCAATAACCCATCTTGTGTATATATGTTACTATTGAGAGGATGTACCGACAGAACAGGTAGAAAACTTTTATCAGTTTAGTATAAATAGCTACTCATTACTACTGTAGAAACAACTTTCGTGATGTTTTTTTTTAGACAATAATGAAATTAAAGTTTTTCCTAAGATTACTTTGTCCTAACCATATATTTTATATTTTTTACCTCTTAACATTTTAGACCCTTCAACATACTTCGAGTTTAGTATATTTATTTATTTTAGGCAGTTTACGTCTGAAATATATAAAAAGTGCAATAAAATATATTAACAAGTTATCTGTAAAAATCCTGATTTCATACAATGGAATTATGCGTTATAGTTTTTAAGGAGATCGTGGTTTGCATACATTGAAATCATAAGTGAATCATTGTTAGATCAACATTAGAAACCTGAAGGTAATGAACTGTAGTTTCGTTCTGGTACAGGACTCATCAGCAGCGCTACTTACTGGATTCAAACTCAGGACCTACGTAAACACTTTACCTCAGTAACATTGATCCGGCATTCAAGTGTGTTCACTAGTGACTGGCTTCGTTAGGAAATTCTCGCAGTTAAAGTGAAAAGTCGTGACCGATGGAGTTAAACCCTATCGGGTGAGAACAGCAACTGACGAAGAGAATGGAAAAGGTTATTCAAAAATCCTTAAATTGATCACAATTAGAAGTTAACACACCCGGAGGCCTGTCCAGTGTATCAAAGATTAGGCATTCGCATGTAAGGTCGGAGGTCCTGGGTTCGAATCCTGAAAATAGTAGGAGTCGTGAATGCGCAAGGCTGATGAGACTCGTACCTGAACGAAACAGTCATCCAGTGCTTCCAGGTTTCTAATCGTGATCTAACAATGATTCATTCATGATTTAAATGTGAAATAATGGAATAAGTTTCTTATGTAATTATTTATATTGAGTTTCGCAAATCAACTAATTATATATGAATATATTATTTATAATGAACTTCATCTTTTAATTCATTTCTATTCAATATGTAGTATCTTGTTTGAAAATGTCTATTCACTGAAATATGAACAATACTTCCTACAAATTTCTTTGGCATTTAGAAACATTAAGCTAATCATAAACCATTGGTAATCTGAATTTCCATCTGTTGATACTGATTAGAATTGAACAGAAATCTTAGTCATGATTGAGAGATATTTCTGTTTAAAAAATTGCACGGAAATCTTTGTCAAAGTTTTTTTATAAGTTGCATCATATTGTCTCATATGATCAAAAAGTGAAAATTTCGGTATTACAGAAAATCATCACGTGACATGTGGCAAAGGGTGGTAAGAGTTTTCGAACTGATTTGCATCAAGCTGGGCTGCATCTCTCGCTATCCTATGCCTTATTATAGGTATACCATATGTTACACTACTATATAGAACTGAAGGTCTCCTATGAGACCAGAGGTTCACTGTGAATATGGTGAATGGTTTGGCAAGTATTGCTAAACGTCCATATGCAGAATCGATAAGCAGGGTGACCGATTTCATTGATACTAGTGGTTGCAACATTTCCGAGACCCATTATCATTGGGGTGTTGTATTGCATATCACGGTTACTGATAATAGTGAGTTTGACAGTCATGTCAGCTGGATGGGTCGAAATTGCCTGTTCATGCGGTGCATATTGACTGGTGCGATCATGAATCAGAAATAATCACTATATATATGTACTAGTGTATATATAAATGGTGTGAATGGTCCACCAGCGTATCAAGTGCCTGTTTGGTTGCACTACAGCATTGAGCCGAACTGTTCATGTCGAAATGCTAACACACGAGCAGTCTCTTTGGTTTCCGCTGAAAAGCCAATGCAAAATTACACTAGACAATAATAGATGATTAACTCATTTAATTGTGTATGTATGTGTGTGTGCAATTTTTGCAAGTTGTTTAACTTTTCAAATTTTACTTTTAATACTGTTCAACTGTCTATTTATCATTTCTTTTAATTTGACTAATGTTTAGTCTAAGTAATAATAACATGATTAATGGTAATAACAAAATATAACCAATTGTTGATTTAATCATAAATCATAATTTCAGATTGAATAATCAATTATTGTACTACACATTTTTTCATATATTTCAAATTATTTTATTTAAAAAAAATAACAAATGTGTGTAAATGTAAACAGTGTTTACACAACAATCAATGATTGATAAGTTTATTATGTTCAATGATACAATTCATTACTCACAATTTTTGCTTAGAAGTATTGTAGTGCACAAGAACACAGGTGAGGGCAACCGAATTGTATTCAACGAAAATTACAGAGTTATTCAGTAAAATCGGAAAACCATATCGTAAATCGTTAGTTTGCAAATTATCAGTTCATCATATCGAACTGGACTGTTCCTGTTGCAAAACATCAATCCATTGTCACTATTCATGCGTTTCATACAAATTCCATTGTGTTACCACTCTTCCTTTCTTGATCTTCCCCCATCTTCTGCTGCCAGACATTACGTTTACACTCACGTCATATACTACTTATAAGTAGCTCACACCACAGTATGTTCAATATTCTTTCTTAATGAATTAATTAGCCCATTATTGCATTAGATAAATGTGTAAATCTTTACTGAAAAAAAACTCCATCACCATGAATTGACACGAACCTAGAAGAATACTAATGTCATTTTAATTCATGATGTCTAAGAATGTACACTTGTAATGATGAAAAGAATTAAACCTACTAATATATTGTTGTTGCATGTTAAGCATGATATATATATCAAGACAATGAGGTTGAAATCCAAGAGTTTTATATGTTCACAACTGCAGATATATTTTTTCGAGTGAATTGACATTCGGCTAAAACGAACCATTGTTTTATTTATAAAAACTGGTTAAATTTACTAGTTATTGCATTGATACCACCAACTTTTTATGGTGTTTATTCACTGAGAGTTATTTTAATGAAACACATAAACCAGTATATTTATCGTCTTTTATTATGTAACGATAGAAAACGAAGATAGTTTACTGTATCATTATAATAAATCTATCAGTAAAAATTATCAAAGCTTAATAGTATGTTACTATTTCAAGCTGTTACCCGACTGTTGATGCTACCTTGATGAGGTGGTAAGGCTTACATATCGTGATGACCCAAGCGAGCTATATTGGCTGGAACATAGGTTCCTGACGGTTTCACCATGCTAGGCAGGTCTATTGGAGAACGGTGAAACTAAAAGCGGCTAATCAACGTCTAAGGATGAGGTCGTACTGCTGACTGCAGAGGGGTGTGACAGCGGTGAGGTGTTTCCCTCGGACAACCAGCATCTTCAGCGATGCTGATTTCTCACAAGGAAGGAAGGTGTTAGAAAAGGTCGACCCTAAAAGTGTCTCACCCCACCTTACTTCACAGACTTCCATCTCCGGCGATGAGGCCTTTCAAAAAGAGCGGGGCGAACGATTTGGAAACTTCTCATAAAAAGGCTGAGCGTAACCTGCCTCAAGCCGTTGTTCCTTGGGTTCTGAGGTTATGCTGTCAGGTCGTTAAGACCAACACTAATCTACCTTCTTTTTCAGGTCAATCAAGAAACACCCTTCCACGGTGTGGACAGCCGGGAATTTACATCCGCCGTCATACTCGTAACAACACACGGGACCAAATTGGTCAAAATCAAATCCTTCCTACACCTCCTTACATCTCTCTTATCTTCACAAATAACCCTTCTCAAGTTCCTTTATCACCCTGCATCGGTAATGCAAACAAATCGAATTCGCGAAACGTTATTCCTGGTCTCCTGAAACCCCGATATAAATTACATGTTGGGGCTTTTGATGTACGGTCGTTGTGTCAAGTACGACAACAGGCCTCAATAGCAAGGAGGACTTTAGAATCTCGCACCATTGATATACACTACGTCTTGGAAATGCGTATACAGGATCCGAGTAGCGTCATCTATTTGAAGTCACCATTTTAATAGAAAGAAGCAGCTCGATTTACTCTTCTGATTCGAATCAGGTTGTACACATATAACAAGGATCAAACGAAATGTCAATGATTTCATGAATTATTGCCATGTTTTTTTCATTTACACACTGCCTAGATTTCTTACAACCAACCAACCAACTATCAATCATATCATTTAAAAAATTTCTCAATAAGACAATAGGATACGTGATCATGATCATTGCCAAATATGTGTTTGTTTGTTTTATTTCGCAATGATCCAGCCAAGTTTTATTAATTATTATTATTATTATTCGGCGTAATTAATTAATTAATTATAAGTTACCGACGAAATTATTGATCGAAATTGTGAAATAATAATTACAGCCGTCTATTAAATGAATTTATCTTTCAGTCTGATATTACTCCTACATGATAACAAATAATGATTGAGTGTAGGTTTTAAAATAAATAAGATTATTGACAAAAAAAGTAATTGAAGTTTTATTCGCCATATTTGTTTTTTTATTTTCAAATATTAAAAATTTAATTATTTTAAATTGTGATAAATACATTCATTATTCTTGTTAAACGTCAAAGTAGTAGTAGTAGTAGTAGTAGTAGTAGTAGTAGTAGTAGCAGTAGTAGTAGTAGTAGTAGTAGTAGTAGTAGTAGTAGTAGTAGTAGTAGTGGTAGTAGTAGTAGTAGTAGTAGTAGTAGTAGTAGTAGTAGTAGTAGTAGTAGTAGTAGTAGTAGTAGTAGTAGTAGTAGTAGTAGTAGTAGTAGTAGTAGTAGTAGTAGTAGTAGTAGTAGTAGTAGTAGTAGTAGTAGTAGTAGTAGTAGTAGTAGTAGTAGTAGTAGTAGTAGTAGTAGTAGTAGTAGTAGTAGTAGTAGTAGTAGTAGTAGTAGTAGTAGTAGTAGTAGTAGTAGTAACAACACTGTCTGTAATTCTTATTTTATACACGTATATCGTTCAATTCTTATCTTAGATAATGTATACTACTGTAGTGAATGAGAACACCGGTGAGGTCAACCGAATTGTATTTATCGCAAATTACAGAGTTACTCAATAAAATAGGAAAATCATATCGTAAATCGTTAATTTGCAACTCTTCAATCCATCATCAATCCATTGTCTGACATTTCACTATTCATGCGTTTCATACAAATTCTATTGTGTTTCCACTCTTCCTTTCTTGATCTTCCCCCATCTTCTGCTGCCAGACATTACATTTACACTCGCATCATATACTACTTATAAGTAGCGCGCACCATACTACTACTAAATGAGTTTATGGTTTTGTTGATACATGGCTAATTAATCATTATTTTTGCTTGTAACCTCTGTTCCATTCAATCAAATCTTGAAATGAATGCTAAAATTTGAGCTGACTGACATATTGCCAAAAAATTTGACCTGTTTCATTGATTCTAATCATAAAAAAAAATCCATACATGTTGATGTCTAAAACTCAACCAGATTACAAGTAATTTTTTGATTATTTATCGAAAAATTTATTACAAAATTCAGTAATTTTTTTTAAAAAAGGAGTAATCTGATTTTTTTATTTTGAACTGTTATTTCAAACAAAAATCTAATACAACGATTTGAAATTGTGCAAAATAAATTGAACATTGATTTTAAAAAATCATAATCAAGTTTAAAATATTTTTTTTCTGCGAATATTTTCAACATTGAAACCAAAGTGCTAATTTTAAATAATTCTTTTTTGCATGTCACATTGGTTATGAAGTTTTGTTCTTTAAATGGTTAGTTTATACAAAATCGATCTTAGCTGAACTCAAGATTTATTGATTAAATGCACATTTTTTTCCCAGTGTAAAAAAGACCTTTTCATCAGCAGAAAATAGTCAATTAACAGAGAAAATATTTCAACAGAAAGTATGCACCATTGCAAAAGTTGTTCATGTTATATTTTTTTGGTACATGTTTGTATTCAAAAATATATTTGAGTATAACAGTGATTAAGTATCTATCATTCATCTTCATCAGAAAATCTTAATAAATAAATTCCTTTTGTTAGGTTCTTTAGTTTTTTCAGTGACGTAAGTGAGGCAATAGTTCCAATATTCTTTCGAAAGATTAATTGAAGGTTAAAATCTTCAGTATATAAACATAAAATCTGTTGTAAGTGCTTTTTTCTATAGAAAAGATAAGAGTACTTACGGTTACAATACAACAAATATCTAGTTTTCTATTATGCACAAATATTTGGAAAATATCTGAAAAGACACAACATTGTCGTGTAAGCTATTTGCTTTTAGGAATAAAAAACACCTTCAACCGTACTTACGCCTGTTACCCCCAATGGAGCATAGGCCGCCGACCAGTTTTCTCCAACCAACTCTGTCCTGGGCTTCTCTCTCCAGTTCTGTCCGATGTTTGTTCATTCCTCTCATATCTTTCTCTATTTCTCGGCGTAATGTATTCCTTGACCTTCCTCTTTTCCTTTTGCCTTGAGGGTTCCATGTGAGGGCTTGTCTCGTGACGCAGTTAGGTGCTTTTCATAGTGTGTGTCCTATCCACTTCCACCGCTTCTTCCTGATTTCCTCCTCCACTGAAGGAATTTGGTTTGTTCTCATCACATCAGCGACGTTCATGGTGTCTGGCCAACGAATCCGAAGTATTTTGCGAAGACAACTGTTCTTAAATACTTGTATGCCCTGGATGATAGCTTTCGTAGTTCTTCACGTTTCCGCCCATATAATAGAACTGTCTTGACATTTGTATTGAAAATCGCGATTTTGGTTTTGGTTGAAAGTTGTTTGAAGTTCCAGATATTTTTCAATCGTAGAAATATAGCCCTTGCTTTGCCGATCCACGCCCTCACACTTGCATCGGATCCACCTTGATTGTTGATGATGCTGTCAAGATTTGTAAAGGTGTTAACGTCCTCCAAGGCATCTAGGCCAACAGTGATTTGGTTGACGGATGTTGTGTTGTTGTCGTTTAAATCTTGCTTTTCCTTTCAATCATATTAATTTATAATCTTTTGATAAGAAACTGATGAATAAATGAATAGATCTTTTCCGTTATGACATAATTAAATAAAGTTTGTATAGAATGATGCTTATATGGCAGCTGGGTCCATATAAAAGTAAGAGAGAATAACATAAATGATAAAAATACATGAACCAATGGTTAGAAGTGGATTTCGAAAACGTACGTTTCGTCCTGTTTACTAATCCTTGGATGTCCCCTAAATCTAAAATGGTTTCACGTGGTAGAACAGATCATTTTCTGTGCGATCTGCAGGTTGTAGTATGTGGTAGAACGTTTAGTCTGAAAACATAATTCGATAAGTTGAAATCTAGATTATTGAATCGGTTATGAAGTTTAGTATATTTTTTTTTAAATTCCTGTCCGAAATACTTTTATAGATCTTGATTAAGATCTATAAAAGTATTCGGAAGGAATTTAAAAAAAAATATACTAAACTTCATAACATTCAATAATCTAGATTTAACTTATCGAATTATGTTTTCAGAATAAACGTTCTACACATACTACAACTGCAGATCGCAAGAAAATGATCTGTTCTACCACGAAACCATTTTAGATTTAGGGACATCCAAGGATTAGTAAACAGGACGAAAACGTACGTTTCGAAATCCACTTCTAACCATTGGTCATGTATTTTTATCATTTATGTTATTCTCTCTTACTTTTATATGGACCCAGCTGCCATATAAGCATCATTCTATACAAACTTTATTTAATTATGTCATAACGGAAAAGATCTATTCATTTATTCATCAGTTTCTTATCAAAAGATTATAAATTAATATGATTGAAAGGAAAAGCAAGATTAAACGAAACAACACAACATCCGTCAACCAAATCACTGTTGGCCTAGATGCCTTGGAGGACGTTAACACCTTTACAAATCTTGACAGCATCATCAACAATCAAGGTGGATCCGATGCAAGTGTGAGGGCGTGGATCGGCAAAGCAAGGGCTATATTTCTACGATTGAAAAATATCTGGAACTTCAAACAACTTTCAACCAAAACCAAAATCGCGATTTTCAATACAAATGTCAAGACAGTTCTATTATATGGGGCGGAAACTTGAAGAACTACGAAAGCTATCATCCAGGGCATACAAGTATTTAAGAACAGTTTACTTCGCAAAATACTTCGGATTCGTTGGCCAGACACCATGACGTGCTGTGGGAGAGAACAAACCAAATTCCTTCAGTGGAGGAGGAAATGAGGAAGAAGCGGTGGAAGTGGATAGGACACACACTATGAAAAGCACCTAACTGCGTCACGAGACAAGCCCTCACATGGAACCCTCAAGGTTAAAAGGGAAAGAGGAAGACCAAGGAACACATTATGCCGAGAAATAGAGAAAAGAATGAACAAAAATTGGACAGAACTGGAAAGGGAAGCCCAGGACAGGGTTGGTTGGAGAAAACTGGTCGGCGGCCTATGCTCCATTGGGGGGTAACAAGCGTAAGTACGGTTGAAGGTGTTTTTTATTCCTAAAAAGCAAATAGCTTACACGACAATGTTGTGTCTTTTCAGATATTTTCCAAATATTTGTGCATAATGAGAAAACTAGATATTTGTTGTATTGTAACCGTAAGTACTCTTATCTTTTCTGATAGGAAAAAAGCACTTACAACAGATTTTATGTTTATATACTGAAGATTTTAACCTCAATTAATCTTTCGAAAGAATATTGGAACTATTGCCTCACTTACGTCACTGAAAAAAACTAAAGAACCTAACAAAAGGAATTTATTTATTAAGATTTTCTGATGAAGATGAATGATAGATACTTAATCACTGTATACTCAAATATATTTTTGAATACAAACATGTACCAAAAAAATATAACATGAACAACTTTTGCAATGGTGCATACTTTCTGTTGAAATAGTTTCTCTGTTAATTGACTATTTCTGCTGAGGAAAAGGTCTTTTTTACACTGGGAAAAAAATGTGCATTTAATCAATAAATCTTGAGTTCAGCTAAGATCGATTTTGTATAAACTAACCATTTAAAGAACAAACTTCATAACCAATGTGACATGCAAAAAAGAATTATTTAAAATTTAGCACTTTGGTTTCAATGTTGAAAATATTCGCAGAAAAAAATATTTTAAAACTTGATTATGATTTTTTAAAATCAATGTTCAATTTATTTTGCACAATTTCAAATCGTTGTATTAGATTTTTGTTTGAAATAACAGTTCAAAATAAAAAAATCAGATTACTCCTTTTTTAAAAAAAATTACTGAATTTTGTAATAAATTTTCGATAACATAATCAAAAAAATTACTTGTAATCTGGTTGAGTTTTAGACATCAACATGTATGGATTTTTTTTTATGATTAGAATCAATGAAACAGGTCAAATTTTTTGGCAATATGTCAGTCAGCTCAAATTTTAGCATTCATTTCAAGATTTGATTGAATGGAACAGAGGTTACAAGCAAAAATAATGATTAATTAGCCATGTATCAACAAAACCATAAACTCATTTAGTAGTAGTATGGTGCGCGCTACTTATAAGTAGTATATGATGCGAGTGTAAATGTAATGTCTGGCAGCAGAAGATGGGGGAAGATCAAGAAAGGAAGAGTGGAAACACAATAGAATTTGTATGAAACGCATGAATAGTGAAATGTCAGACAATGGATTGATGATGGATTGAAGAGTTGCAAATTAACGATTTACGATATGATTTTCCTATTTTATTGAGTAACTCTGTAATTTGCGATAAATACAATTCGGTTGACCTCACCGGTGTTCTCATTCACTACAGTAGTATACATTATCTAAGATAAGAATTGAACGATATACGTGTATAAAATAAGAATTACAGACAGTGTTGTTACTACTACTACTACTACTACTACTACTACTACTACTACTACTACTACTACTACTACTACTACTACTACTACTACTACTACTACTACTACTACTACTACTACTACTACTACTACTACTACTACTACTACTACTACTACTACTACTACTACTACTACTACTACTACTACTACTACTACTACTACTACTACTACTACTACTACTACTACTACTACTACTACTACTACTACTACTACTACTACTACTACTACTACTACTACTACTACTACTACTACTACTACTACTACTACTACTACTACTACTACTACTACTACTACTACTACTACTACTACTACTACTACTACTACTACTACTACTACTACTACTACTACTACTACTACTACTACTACTACTACTACTACTACTACTACTACTACTACTACTACCACTACTACTACTACTACTACTACTACTACTACTACTACTACTACTACTACTACTGCTACTACTACTACTACTACTACTACTACTACTACTACTTTGACGTTTAACAAGAATAATGAATGTATTTATCACAATTTAAAATAATTAAATTTTTAATATTTGAAAATAAAAAAACAAATATGGCGAATAAAACTTCAATTACTTTTTTTGTCAATAATCTTATTTATTTTAAAACCTACACTCAATCATTATTTGTTATCATGTAGGAGTAATATCAGACTGAAAGATAAATTCATTTAATAGACGGCTGTAATTATTATTTCACAATTTCGATCAATAATTTCGTCGGTAACTTATAATTAATTAATTAATTACGCCGAATAATAATAATAATAATTAATAAAACTTGGCTGGATCATTGCGAAATAAAACAAACAAACACATATTTGGCAATGATCATGATCACGTATCCTATTGTCTTATTGAGAAATTTTTTAAATGATATGATTGATAGTTGGTTGGTTGGTTGTAAGAAATCTAGGCAGTGTGTAAATGAAAAAAACATGGCAATAATTCATGAAATCATTGACATTTCGTTTGATCCTTGTTATATGTGTACAACCTGATTCGAATCAGAAGAGTAAATCGAGCTGCTTCTTTCTATTAAAATGGTGACTTCAAATAGATGACGCTACTCGGATCCTGTATACGCATTTCCAAGACGTAGTGTATATCAATGGTGCGAGATTCTAAAGTCCTCCTTGCTATTGAGGCCTGTTGTCGTACTTGACACAACGACCGTACATCAAAAGCCCCAACATGTAATTTATATCGGGGTTTCAGGAGACCAGGAATAACGTTTCGCGAATTCGATTTGTTTGCATTACCGATGCAGGGTGATAAAGGAACTTGAGAAGGGTTATTTGTGAAGATAAGAGAGATGTAAGGAGGTGTAGGAAGGATTTGATTTTGACCAATTTGGTCCCGTGTGTTGTTACGAGTATGACGGCGGATGTAAATTCCCGGCTGTCCACACCGTGGAAGGGTGTTTCTTGATTGACCTGAAAAAGAAGGTAGATTAGTGTTGGTCTTAACGACCTGACAGCATAACCTCAGAACCCAAGGAACAACGGCTTGAGGCAGGTTACGCTCAGCCTTTTTATGAGAAGTTTCCAAATCGTTCGCCCCGCTCTTTTTGAAAGGCCTCATCGCCGGAGATGGAAGTCTGTGAAGTAAGGTGGGGTGAGACACTTTTAGGGTCGACCTTTTCTAACACCTTCCTTCCTTGTGAGAAATCAGCATCGCTGAAGATGCTGGTTGTCCGAGGGAAACACCTCACCGCTGTCACACCCCTCTGCAGTCAGCAGTACGACCTCATCCTTAGACGTTGATTAGCCGCTTTTAGTTTCACCGTTCTCCAATAGACCTGCCTAGCATGGTGAAACCGTCAGGAACCTATGTTCCAGCCAATATAGCTCGCTTGGGTCATCACGATATGTAAGCCTTACCACCTCATCAAGGTAGCATCAACAGTCGGGTAACAGCTTGAAATAGTAACATACTATTAAGCTTTGATAATTTTTACTGATAGATTTATTATAATGATACAGTAAACTATCTTCGTTTTCTATCGTTACATAATAAAAGACGATAAATATACTGGTTTATGTGTTTCATTAAAATAACTCTCAGTGAATAAACACCATAAAAAGTTGGTGGTATCAATGCAATAACTAGTAAATTTAACCAGTTTTTATAAATAAAACAATGGTTCGTTTTAGCCGAATGTCAATTCACTCGAAAAAATATATCTGCAGTTGTGAACATATAAAACTCTTGGATTTCAACCTCATTGTCTTGATATATATATCATGCTTAACATGCAACAACAATATATTAGTAGGTTTAATTCTTTTCATCATTACAAGTGTACATTCTTAGACATCATGAATTAAAATGACATTAGTATTCTTCTAGGTTCGTGTCAATTCATGGTGATGGAGTTTTTTTTCAGTAAAGATTTACACATTTATCTAATGCAATAATGGGCTAATTAATTCATTAAGAAAGAATATTGAACATACTGTGGTGTGAGCTACTTATAAGTAGTATATGACGTGAGTGTAAACGTAATGTCTGGCAGCAGAAGATGGGGGAAGATCAAGAAAGGAAGAGTGGTAACACAATGGAATTTGTATGAAACGCATGAATAGTGACAATGGATTGATGTTTTGCAACAGGAACAGTCCAGTTCGATATGATGAACTGATAATTTGCAAACTAACGATTTACGATATGGTTTTCCGATTTTACTGAATAACTCTGTAATTTTCGTTGAATACAATTCGGTTGCCCTCACCTGTGTTCTTGTGCACTACAATACTTCTAAGCAAAAATTGTGAGTAATGAATTGTATCATTGAACATAATAAACTTATCAATCATTGATTGTTGTGTAAACACTGTTTACATTTACACACATTTGTTATTTTTTTTAAATAAAATAATTTGAAATATATGAAAAAATGTGTAGTACAATAATTGATTATTCAATCTGAAATTATGATTTATGATTAAATCAACAATTGGTTATATTTTGTTATTACCATTAATCATGTTATTATTACTTAGACTAAACATTAGTCAAATTAAAAGAAAATGATAAATAGACAGTTGAACAGTATTAAAAGTAAAATTTGAAAAGTTAAACAACTTGCAAAAATTGCACACACACATACATACACAATTAAATGAGTTAATCATCTATTATTGTCTAGTGTAATTTTGCATTGGCTTTTCAGCGGAAACCAAAGAGACTGCTCGTGTGTTAGCATTTCGACATGAACAGTTCGGCTCAATGCTGTAGTGCAACCAAACAGGCACTTGATACGCTAGTGGACCATTCACACCATTTATATATACACTAGTACATATATATAGTGATTATTTCTGATTCATGATCGCACCAGTCAATATGCACCGCATGAACAGGCAATTTCGACCCATCCAGCTGACATGACTGTCAAACTCACTATTATCAGTAACCGTGATATGCAATACAACACCCCAATGATAATGGGTCTCGGAAATGTTGCAACCACTAGTATCAATGAAATCGGTCACCCTGCTTATCGATTCTGCATATGGACGTTTAGCAATACTTGCCAAACCATTCACCATATTCACAGTGAACCTCTGGTCTCATAGGAGACCTTCAGTTCTATATAGTAGTGTAACATATGGTATACCTATAATAAGGCATAGGATAGCGAGAGATGCAGCCCAGCTTGATGCAAATCAGTTCGAAAACTCTTACCACCCTTTGCCACATGTCACGTGATGATTTTCTGTAATACCGAAATTTTCACTTTTTGATCATATGAGACAATATGATGCAACTTATAAAAAAACTTTGACAAAGATTTCCGTGCAATTTTTTAAACAGAAATATCTCTCAATCATGACTAAGATTTCTGTTCAATTCTAATCAGTATCAACAGATGGAAATTCAGATTACCAATGGTTTATGATTAGCTTAATGTTTCTAAATGCCAAAGAAATTTGTAGGAAGTATTGTTCATATTTCAGTGAATAGACATTTTCAAACAAGATACTACATATTGAATAGAAATGAATTAAAAGATGAAGTTCATTATAAATAATATATTCATATATAATTAGTTGATTTGCGAAACTCAATATAAATAATTACATAAGAAACTTATTCCATTATTTCACATTTAAATCATGAATGAATCATTGTTAGATCACGATTAGAAACCTGGAAGCACTGGATGACTGTTTCGTTCAGGTACGAGTCTCATCAGCCTTGCGCATTCACGACTCCTACTATTTTCAGGATTCGAACCCAGGACCTCCGACCTTACATGCGAATGCCTAATCTTTGATACACTGGACAGGCCTCCGGGTGTGTTAACTTCTAATTGTGATCAATTTAAGGATTTTTGAATAACCTTTTCCATTCTCTTCGTCAGTTGCTGTTCTCACCCGATAGGGTTTAACTCCATCGGTCACGACTTTTCACTTTAACTGCGAGAATTTCCTAACGAAGCCAGTCACTAGTGAACACACTTGAATGCCGGATCAATGTTACTGAGGTAAAGTGTTTACGTAGGTCCTGAGTTTGAATCCAGTAAGTAGCGCTGCTGATGAGTCCTGTACCAGAACGAAACTACAGTTCATTACCTTCAGGTTTCTAATGTTGATCTAACAATGATTCACTTATGATTTCAATGTATGCAAACCACGATCTCCTTAAAAACTATAACGCATAATTCCATTGTATGAAATCAGGATTTTTACAGATAACTTGTTAATATATTTTATTGCACTTTTTATATATTTCAGACGTAAACTGCCTAAAATAAATAAATATACTAAACTCGAAGTATGTTGAAGGGTCTAAAATGTTAAGAGGTAAAAAATATAAAATATATGGTTAGGACAAAGTAATCTTAGGAAAAACTTTAATTTCATTATTGTCTAAAAAAAAACATCACGAAAGTTGTTTCTACAGTAGTAATGAGTAGCTATTTATACTAAACTGATAAAAGTTTTCTACCTGTTCTGTCGGTACATCCTCTCAATAGTAACATATATACACAAGATGGGTTATTGAAAACTTGTTTTACAACTAATTATTGTTTTACTAATGACTATAAGTGTCTTCCTTTGATGCTCATAATATTTTGTTTTATCACAATGAACGAAATTAGTTTGATTGAAGTGAATGATTACTTAGTTTTTTTTTAACAAATCATTAAGAAAATCATCGTCCAGAAATTGGAAAAGATTTCGTTGTAGTAAAATTGTTATTGCTCACTCAAAAAAACCAATTTTCAGTTAGCGAGAATTTATGACGATTGATTCAATTCGTAAATAATATTCATTAGAACTGATCTCAGTTGGGGTACACTTGAAAATCAAGGAACAGTGGTGACAGCTGCTAGTGATTTCATAAGACATTATGACAGGTGATGATGATGAGACGAATATTGTCATGGTATCAAGTGATTGTCACGTTATATTAAAAAAATTACATGACCCTAGAATTGAACTTTTGGATGCCTGCATAATGATTCGAAAAGAGACCGAAACTTCCTGCATTCAGCTGTCTATGGGGTT